ATCCGTTGTGTCAGTCGTCTATAGGGGTACTGTTGCCGTGGCAGTGGCCCAACCTGAACACTGCTTAACAACTAGGTGCCACACCGCCATAGGTCTATCGACACCGCTTCCTAACCAGCCACACACAGCATCCCACTGTTCGCGGCCGCAAGACTCAACCGTACTCGGCGTCGGGCGCAACAACTAACGCAATAACTATGCAGCAAGGAAGCCAGCCGAACACCTGGTTAGGCAGTTAGCACCATACCGCAGTCACGCGCAACACCTACGTCGCTCGGGTGCAAGAGCAACCTCTGCACCACATGGTAGTACGACTTTGGTGTAGTTCTTGGGTGCAACCGCTCAGCAGTCCGCATGGTCCCAGATCCGAAGCACACTGGTCACAGTCCGCAATCTCTCCCACGTAAGATAACAGTGCGGCCGAAAAGGTGACTTCTGAGGACACAAAAAAAACAAGTACGGGCACAGTACCAACTAAGGCGCATGCGATTGTCGGCCCCGCAGCCCGCCATTGTGACCAGGTACGATCTCTTCGTCTCTCTCGGTTAACTAGTTCACTCTTCCTCCCCCTTGCTTCGTCTATCTTACTCAACACTACTGCAACCCCCAATAGTAAGCACAATAATGAAGGGCTACTTCGAGCTCTTGTTGACTGTGCGGCCAATCGAGTAAGGAGGGAAACGTTTTCCGGTAGGACATGGGCATTTACGCCGCTTTCCAGCCATACACGCAGCGATACCACAGCTCGTTTTCCCGTCCCTCCCGTACTTTCAATCCGACTTTTCCAACTCGTGGTGAGTTCCTTCCCTTACTTGTCGGCCGGTATCTGGTCGTACTGACGACCAGAACCAGTTCACCCGCAACCCCCACTTCGGTCGAATTAGCGAGGCCTGGCACGGGGCGACGGCATGTTAGTAATGGTAACAGTGGTAAGGCGCTCGGATGGTAACGAATACCAGGCTAATCACGGCGAGACGAGTGGTCGTACCTATACTAGTAGTATGACCCCAAACACGGCGATCATAGCAATAATAGTGGTCACTCGGATGACACCATGCATGTCGATGCGTGCAAGCCTGAATCTCTCGTCAGAATACAGCCAGGTGCATCAACACCTTGCTGACTCTTCCCCAGGCGCAGCTCCTCGTGCTTACTCCCCTTGATCCGCTGTTCACCCACCACCCGGCGCGCTACCTCCCCGTGTAATGCCTCGCCTCCCCCGTTTCAGCTTTTGTCGCGCTTGACTCTATAACGGGGCGAGCGAGATATTACGCTCCTCTCTCTCTTCCCTCACCCATCACCGCTTCCAATTTTTCCACGCAATCCGTTCCTTTCCTAACTCGTCGTTTACTGACTCCCACCTTATTCCGACTGTAGATTCGGATTCGCCAGCATTTAAAACCTCTACGTAGACTCCCTCTTTGTCTGATTCTACCACCAGACGACCGAACTTTCTACCTTCCCTCCCTCCATCTCCGTTTTCACCTTCGTTTGTATCGGCGTTGTCTCCCATCTAGGTACATTCTGGCCTCAGCTACGCTTTTCCGTCCGTGCTCTAGCGTGATCGTTCCGCTGTGTCACTCTGCCCTTCCTACTCTGCGCCCGTGCCCAACCATCACTGTAGTCGCTGCCTTGCTCATCGTGCCTCCGTCTTCTGCTACTGGCCTACCTTCGAACGCACTCGGCGCAATACCGCGTCCGGGTTCATGCACCTCTTTGTCCCTTCTCTTCTTCATTCTTCCCTCCACTATACTCCATCACTCGCCAATCCGCCTTCACCACCGTGCTCGTCCTACCCATGCCCCCTGTCTTTACTTCGTCTTCTCTGGTGTCATGGCCGACTCCCTCCGCCCATGGTTGAGTGTTGGCCCGAATCCCACTCCGATACCAACGGCAGAACGGCAGTTACAAGTGCCGCAATTCACCGCAGGGCGTATATCGGCAACGCACAAGCTAAAGTGCGTGGTCCTTAACCGGCTGTTCGGGCCAGCCCAATGCCCCAGCAGTCGGGACAGCTCGTGCAGCGGCCACTCTCCGCGCCCTCGCCACTTACATCGCCCGCTTTCGAAGTCGTTGTGACAGCGCTCCCGCACGGCTTATGCAGAACGGCTGGTCGGCTCGACGCCCCAGCCCAACTTATACACTTTGGTCGATGTTGACCTTCGCTCTCCGCCGGCTCTAGACACCGGCACTCCCATATGGTACGTCACTATTGGATCTATGGGAGTCGGGGCTGGGTACGGCTTGCCTAACGCAGCAGGCTTCATCCCGGCCCACTGGTCTCAATCCGACCGCTGGGCTGCCCTCGAACAGGTCGTCTCCGCCCAGTTATGGACTTGGTCCTGTCTGTATTATGGCACTGCCACCCTTGACCCTCCTACGATACAGACCCAATAATAAACATAATAGCTAAATATAAAATAAAAATATATATATATATATATAAATGATAAAAAAAAAAAAAAGCTTGGATCAAACGGACCCGCGTTCGGATTCCCCCAGCAAAACCAAAGGGGATAGTCCCACAGGACCCTCAACCCCTCAGCTCTTCAAAGTTCCAACGCTCCTTGCCACCGTCGGGCGGCTTCGATCCCCGTATCTCCGCTGTAACAGTCCGATACCGTAACCCATAGGGCTAAGCCCAAACCTGGTACCAGCCTGCGCAGTATTCCATATAAACAGGTATTGTTCAGCCCCTAGGCCTAGGAACCAAGCCCCAGCCCTCACTCCTACCTCTAGCTACGCACGTTGCTGCTAGGCACTCGCACGGCCTTGCCCTTGCGGGGCCGTGGCCGCTTCGCATCCCACACCGTACGTAGGACCGCCAAACGGTCACTTGACCAAATATAAACATCTTATACTCTTAATAGAAAAGAAACAAGGTTCAGGCCGACCGTTTAACCACATTTAAAGAGATCACCCGCACGCCTTAATCTCGCGAGCCCTCACCCGCTCTATCCTAATCAACCATCTTACCTAGGTAATCAAGCAGACTTAGTCGCGACTCGCGCGGTACACTTTAGACCTCTACTCGTACTTCCGGTCACTTGCAAAAACAAGGGCGGATACCCTTGTCAGGGCGTTCGCGCCGACAGCTTACCGGACCATATTAAGCGACGTCCCCATCGCTTCGCCAAATCGAAAGCTACAAATTCCTCCATAACTCCAAATGATGACGAGACAAGAACCAATCCGATCAGCCGACAGACTCAGGGTTGAGGCCTCCAACAATCCAGGCCCTTGTAACTATATGTCGCCAGGGTTCTAACCTGGGTCTCCATTGTCCTGACACTAGGACGCCGGTGTACTAGACATACGTACTATGGCATAAGTCTCAGCGGCCCCCCTTACCCGTCCTCTCCCTTTTGTCCTAGACAACCGCCGACTTTTCGTTAGGTGCCCTTGGCCCCTATCCTGCAAACAGGACTTCGACCAAGGGCGCGGGCCCTAACCGAGACCTAAGAAGGCGTTTTCGCCCTCCTCCCACAATTCTCACAATCAAAATATACATATATATATTAATCACCTCAACTCACCTCCTGCAGTCTAGTACAGGTAGGCTAGGTCTCCATCTTGGCCCACCGTAGTCTGGGTGATCGTGCCAGGTCTACGGCCCACCGCGCTTGTTAGTTCAGCGGTAGTGCCCTCGCAGGTTGAGTTGCGATAGGCTTTCTCCTAATAAGCATTCAATCAGGGCTAAAAAAAGACCCGACTCGACCCTTATCCCACGCCAGTCTGCAGGAGTAAAACCCTCCTAGGTGGTCACACCTCTTTAAGTCTTTACTCCCTAGGCTCGATGTAGGCCCGCTGGTCAGGTTGTGCCGATCAGCAGCCGATACTAGGGGTTGCGCCCTAGTGATGCTAAACTCTACTGTTAGCTTGGTATTCTCCTACATGTTCCAGGATTAGCACATGTGGCTGGACGGTGGGTCGCAACAATACAGGCCCACCGCGGGACTACGCAGAGGCCTGTCACATATAAAAGGTATTTACCAGCCCTCTGTGGGACAACACAGGGGATCGTGGCAACCTCTCCACATTTACAAACAGAATTACCGCCAGTTGCACAAGGCTGTGACTTCCTTACTTGATCAGAGCAGGAAGCCACACATCCTAGTGACATCTCCCAAAAGAAACTATTTGTGACCTCTCCAAACTCTCAACAGTGGCCAAGCAACAAACATGGTCCTTCTCGTCAGACTTTATCATATCAACCTTGCTTACCATGCAACCGACCCGGTAACCACCCTTCATACGAGGGGAGTCCCAGCATGCAGCGGGTTGCCTCCTCAAAAACCCAGGCACCCCTACCATAGCATAACTCAAACTTGAGAGACCAACTTATGGGTCCCCCTCACAACTCAACAACATACATTCGGCATGGCAAGCATCTGAGTCTCAAGGACTCACAAATCCATGGGATTCTTATACTTTCACAAGCACAGACTGCACTCCCTCTCCTTATACCTGGCCCCGCTACTTGCCCGCGGGCAGATCGCACAAGTATATCGGAGAGTAGGCAGTTCACATACATTCCATTCGCACGGTGCACAACATTCAAGATGTCGTTCATACATTCAACATTCACCATACATCAGGATAAATCCACACATATGAGAGTGAGTGTGATCGTCATGTACAAAGGATAGTCTCAAACCTCACTCAACTCAGATATACACTCAGGGATGAGATATCTCATCCTAAAATCCACAGGGTAACCTCGCCTCAGGACCCACACAAAACAACTCACCCCACCCGGAATATAGTACATGGTTATCTGTACAGGGGATCCCCAAAACAATTCAGTATTCTATTGTCACTTGGTGTACGCCCCCTATTTTACATGATCCTAGTTACAACGGTCATCCCATGCCGTAGGTCCCATCTACACACTGAACGTCGTAGGTGTCCACCCTGCCTAAGTAATAGCAAAATCGTTAAAGAAATATTCAGTCTTTAATCAGGTGAACCAGACCCTACTCACTCATCTCCTCCTGGTTCTGCCTGTACAACTGAGCTCTACCCCCATCTACATATCATTCCACCACTCTACCCTGCCTATCATGCATCTTCCCATCATACTCCGAGACCTTCCCGCCTGCCTGGTCCTTTAGGAACTTGAGGCACTGCAATGCCCTGTGCTCTCCTTTCGTACAATAGAAGCAGGTCGAGTCAAAAGACTTCCTAGGCCTTTTCTTCTTTCGTTGGGGCCCTACTGGCGATGGGGTTTCCCTGGCCTCTCTGTCCGACTCATGGCACGGAGGCACATCTCTGGGTCTCTCACATCCTGCCTCCGACTCTCGCGAACTAGGCCCTGGTTGCGCCCTTGCTTCCTCTGGCTCATAGTCAGGAGTATCCAACCTCTGGGGCCTGCCTGCGATGATGCCCTCCATTGCACCTCCCATCTCGCTCTCCAGGGGTTCTTCCAACTTGGACTCTGGTGAAAACAAGCCATCATCCTCCTGCATAGAGTGGACTGCTTCCAGTAGCACGTCCAAGGAACCTCCTGTCAAGCCTTGGGGAGGCTCGTCACTGGCCGGGGGCAGTCTCTCCTCAAGTGACGGTGGCATGGCAGGGTCTGCAGCCATCGTGGGTAGCACCGCAAGCTCCGTAGGGGCTCTGAATTCGAAGGCTTCCCTCTCAGCCTTCCTCTTGGCCTCTGCCTCCTCAGGCTCCAAAATGACTTTTCTCATAGGTGCCTCTTGCCGAGGCTCAGCCACAGCTGGTTACTCTGGTACGCCATGTCCTGGTTGCCTCCGCTCTCCTGGCCTGCTACTCCCCGCCCCATCCCTGCCGCCATGGAGTTGCTGCTTTAATTCCAGGATGGTGGCGGCCTGGCTAGTCACAAAAGCCCTGAGCTCTCGGACTTCTGCCTCAATGGTCCCCAACCGTGACTCCAGCCATGCTTCCTTCAGTTCCTTCCCTCTCAGATCCGCCTCCAATATCATATGCCTACCGAAGGAGGTCTTGGATACGGAGCGAATCCTTTGATCCAAATACTCATCAGCTCTCTGTGAACTTTCAACCTCTGCCTTGCCTGGGGTCGTCAACCCTTCGCCATGACGAGCAAGAAACTATCCCCACATCTCCCGGAGCCCATATGGTTTATAGGGCGGTGGCGGACTTGGGAGTACCCCCGCTGCTTCCAATCTTTGCCCCTCCTGCCGGATTTCCTCCTTGCGTCTCGCCACTCTAGCCCGCTTCTCCTCAGCCGTTTCTTTTGCTGGTATTCCCTCTACTGTGCGATGTTCGACTTCCCCTGGGTTCCCTGATTCCACCTCTCTCTTGGCCTGACCTAGTTCCCGGGGTGACTCCACAGGTATGACTTCTTCCAAATTAGGCTGCTCCAGAGCGTGGGCGGCCAGATGGCTATCAATCAGACTGTCTGCCTTCCTCCTCAGACTGCCCCCCTCCACCTCACTTGCCTCCTTTCCTGTCGGTGATAGGGTTGTCTCTGGCACCGATCGAGACTTCCCCCCTCTGTACCTCCCTCCTCACATCAGGCGGACTCCCGTGAGGATTACCAAGTCTCAGTCCCACGGCGGGTTCCTGAGGGGGAGTGTCCTCCTCCACTTCTATGATCTCATCCCCAATCCGGCCCTTCGTAGCACTCGGCCCCTCCTCTTGTTCAGGGTCTGGAATGTCCTCTTGTGGTATCTCCGCGACAGCCTCAATACGCCTCTCACTCATCGGCGGCTCTCTCCATTGGGCAGCGTCCAGATGTGCCTCTAATGCTTGCAATGACCCTTCAACGGCCGGTATCTCTTCCTGTATATATTGTGGCCCTTCCCCCAATCCTCCTTCAGTATAGTGGTGGAACTCTACTGGCCCCAGTACACCCTCGGGGTGCTCCTCTTGTCTTTCTACCTCAGGTACGTCCTCCTCTTCTCGCCTAGCAAGCGCCTTTCGTCTTCTCCGCGAGGATCTATCCTCAGCGGGCTCAGGATCCCTCTGCCTGCCGCTCCTGAGGCGCCTTTCAACTCTAGGCTGAGGCGGTTCTGGCGGCCGGAATGCCGCCCTCAAGTGCGCTCTACAACCATCCCAATCTAGGGCCATATCCCTAATCTGTCTGGCCAAAGGTCTTTCCGCCTTTTGGGTCCACAGGGGTAACGTCGTCATCTACTCGCTTTGCAGTATTCCCTGGTACTGCATAAATTGCTCGAATGCTGGGATGAACTCCTCTGCATTCCCAATCTCTAGCCGAATAGGTCTGCCATCAGGCCCCACAGGCGACGGTCGCAGTTCCTGCATCCGCGCCTCCACTTCCGACCTCGTTCGAGCGTCTCTGCGAATCTGTGCGATGGGCTCCATAAACCTGCCAACTCCCCTCAACCTCTCGATTGTCTGAGTCACGGTCCACCCCATATGGTTAGCGTGGCCCCAGAACTCGTCCATGAATAACTCGATATCCCCATCGTTATATACTGGAGTGCTTGCTCGACGGTAAGGCCCACGCCGTCCATGTCCTCTTGATGCTCCCCCCGACCGTTGTGGTGGCCGTGTCCCCCTCCCTCCTCTTGGCATGGCTGCAAGTCAGTCCTGCACAATAGGCGAAGGAGACAATCGAGCACGCGTCGGGGTAAGCAAACAGGCGACGAAGAGACACACTCAAGCCAAACCAAGCACATGCCCCAAGCAATCCTCCTAATCTACAAACCCATCTATTCCATTCTAAGGGGACTGGGTTGCCTATCTCACCTCTTCTCTGGCCACGAACTTTTTCAACCTCGTCCCTGACACCCAGTCTTTCCACTCTGCTCCATTCAGCTCCTCGATCTGGTATGCACCGAACTCCCCGCATCGCATGACCCGGTAGGGACCTAACCACCTCTTGTCCAGCTTCCTGGACCATTGTTTTTCCAGGGATGAATCATACAAGAGCACGACGTCCCCAACTACCAAGGGTACCTTTCTTACACGAGTTGACTGGTCCCAGCGATCCTTATCGTCCATACGGCTCCTCTCTACATGGTCGGATGCCTCTTGGACCCTTTCCTCAATCGCACCCACCTGCCGAACTCTTATATCGAGCAACTCCTCGAAAGACAGATTTACCTCCAAGTCCTGACGCCTCCAAGTCTTTAGGAAACTCTCGATTGGAAAGGTAGCATGTCTTTCATACCACAGTGTGGCCGGCGCGTACTTAGTGGTCCTTTTCACTGTGATGTTCTCAACGAAGAAGGCGGCCCTCAGATATCTCGGCCACTGGCAGGGCTTACCTTCTGTCCATTTCGCTAGCAAGGCCGTAATGGTGCTATGCCCCCTTTCAACGGGGGCATTCGCTTGAGGGTGGGCGGCCATGGTGTAGTTAGTCACTACCCCATATCTTGACAGCAGCTCCTGCACCTCCTGACAGGTGAACTCCGATCCCCTGTCCATTACGAACTCTCTAACGAACGGGTAGCGTAGGTAATATTCCTCGATGCAGCTGACCAGAACTGGCCCAGTCTTCGTACGGATTATCCGTCCATCTACGAAGCCAGATAGGTTGTCGCGCGCATCGAAGATGTAATTGTAGTCATGGTCCCCAAGGGGCATGAACAATAAGTCGAGGTGTACTACGGCCCCAACCTCTCTCTCCAGCCTTGGATGCAGTGGCTCTCCTAGCTTTAGACGGGACTGCTCCTGGCACGGCACACAAGACCGGCAGAATTTCCCAACCATCTTCATCATCCCGTCCCAATAGTATAGCTCACTTATTTTGACATATGTGGCAGTAATTCCCCGGTGTCCGCCTGCAATGCCATCATGAAGCGCCGCTATGACGTCGATCTGACGGTTGCGACCACATACCACACGCCTGGGGTTCCTTACTTTCCTTCTTACGAAGAGATGACCGTCCCTTACTAGGTAGTGATCCCTCATCATCTGCGCCCTATGGCTTGCGTCTCTATCATGCATCTCGCAGGATAAGAGAAGTCCCAGCTCTAGGTAAATCCCATCATACTCCTCTGCGCGGAATGCCTCCTTGATCTCTCCCTCTTTGAACTCGTCATCCTGGCTCTCCAACGCAGTATCTCTTCCTTCGACCGAATTTAGTGAGCTTTCTCGATCAAGGGACTCCTGCAGGAGCGCATTGACGAGGAGGCACATCCCTCCCATTAATTCCTGGTGATGTTTTACCTTATCCGGACCCTCCTCTATCGTCAGTACCTCATCCACCATACAATGGCTACCTACGAGTGTCAACTTGGTCATCCATTGGACGTCCTTACCACCCCWGGGATCCTCCTCTTCGAAAGGCTTGAGCACCAACTCAGCTTTCTGCCCATACCCCTTAGGCGCATGCCAGATAGGATGGCCAACGCAGTTGGGGACTCGTGGGGACCACTTATTGATGTGGAGGCGGATGTCCTCGTCCTGGTCCAGAAAGCCATAAACTTGGGGCGTATCCTCTACAGCTTCCCCGTCCTGCCTATCCCAGTTGATGCGACTTAGTCCATCTGCCTTGTTCTTGTTCCCTGGGATTCGTTCCAACTCGAAGTTGAACATCCAGATGTATGTCAACCACCTGGCAACTGTTGGATCGGACGGAACATAATTCCTCAGGGAGAACGCCAGAGTCGTTGGGTCTACCCTTAAGATGAACCTCCTGCCGAAGATGTAGTTTCAAAAAAATCCGCAGGCAATGAAGGACGGCGAGAGTCTCCCTCTTAAATTGATAGTAGTTTCTTTCTAACGTACACAGCGTGCGACTCTCAAAGCGCAACGGCCTCTCCTTCCCCTTGATGTCTGCTTGGATTAGAACTCCACCCAAGGTCGTCGGTCCTACATCGATCTCCACAATGAATGGTATCGTCTCCTTAGCGTCATAATCGGGCGCTCCCAGCACCAATCCTCCTTCCCGGAACTCCTCCTTCATGTTGGCCACTGCCTCTTCCTGATCCTCACCCCAGGTCCACTCCTGATCCTGCCGGACCAGCTTCCTTAATTGCTCTGTCTTTGCCGCAAAGTTCTTGATGAAGGACCTTCAGAACCCACACGTACCTAGGAAGCTCCTTACATCTGTTACAGAACGGAATGGCACCGGCCACTCAACTATCTTATCCGTTTTCTTAACATCCGTCCGCCGACCGTTCTCATTACAGACGAACCCCAAGATAGTCGCTTCCCTCATACAGTGCTTAGACTTAGGCCCATTGGCCGTAAGGTTGTACTCCTCAAGCAAGCCCAAGACTTTATCAAGGTCCTGAATATGCCTCCAGACAAACCGCCTTACTCCAGGCAGGACCTCATCGTCTTCCCTTTTTCGCGGCCCTTTCACTGCCAGGTCGTCGATGTATGGCTGCATGATGTGTGGACTAACTGTCTGCATGACCCGGATCATATTCCTTTGGACCATCGCCACCGCATTCGTCCACCCTTGTGGAGCCACATTCATGTGGATAAGCCCTCGAGGCGTGTGCATAGCTCTTGCAGGTCGGTCCGGCGAGTAAACCAGAAATTAGTCATATCCGGAATAGAGGTCAATAAGTGAAATTATCGGCCTCCCAGCGCATGATTTCGACAGCGCATCAGCATTTGGTAGCCCACCTGCGTCCCGCACTGTCACCGCATTCAATCTCTGCAAGTCCTGTACCCACCTTAGCGTCCCATTGGGTGTAATAAGACAAAACCACGGGGATGCGCAGGGTCCGCTCGAGTAGTCGGCGACGTGCGTACGTATTTTATCATCGAGGTAGTCCACTACCTTCTTCTCTTCGTAAGGGTCAGGGTATCGTGCCCACCTTAGGTTCCATGGCTCGTGTGGCACGGTATGGATGCGAATCGTTGGAATCTTGTCCACATCCAACCTGCCACGCTCCTCGTCACTGAAAGCATAGGCGCGATGTCTTTTCTTCATCAGTTTCACCATCATGGCTCTTTCCCGCGGTAATAGGAAGTCCGGTTCTCCCACTATCAACTTTCCTTTGTTTTCCTCATTGATATGGCATGGCCCTTCTAACGCTTTTTCCCTCATTCGCCGTATCAACGCTCGCTCCCGTTCGTAGTACACCTCCTCGTCCTCTGTAACCAGAACGGGAACTGGGCGGCACTTTTTGTCTATCGTTTTGTACCACCTTTGGACACCCTGCTTGAGCCTGCCCCTAAAAAAGGCTGACTTGTCGCTCGTGCATATGCCTGTGCCACCGCCGGATCCATTCTCCCCTTAGGAAACCGATAGACCAGCTCCATTTCCCCTACCTTGGGATACTCCAGAACCTGCTCCCTCAACGCCTGAATGACATCCAGATTGGCCATCTTGTGCATGGCCACTATATCCATGGCCTTTCCCACATCCGACAGGCTGAGCGAGAAGGCTTCACCTTCTACTTCCTCCTCGGGCTCTTCCATAAGCCTCCGATGCGCGTCTTCTGACTCCTCGATTGTGAACAAGCCAGGCTCCGTGACCGAGTGTTCCGGCAGGTAATCACTTCGTAATTCCCGCATGCTGGATCACATAAAATCAAGATCAATGACCCATCATGCTTATTATACATCAAGGTCTCTGTCCTGCATAGGAAGGACCTCCGCAGGAGGATGTTGTGGTCTACATCAGGCATCACAAAGAAACAGGCCCGCGCTTTCACCCTGCCAATCTCCAATAGCACATTCAAGGTTGTTCCACAAAATGCAGCCTTGTTGTTGGCCTCGTGCAGGATGCCGCAGTCCGAGCGGTCTATCTCCAGTCCAAATCTGACGGCATCAGCCTCTCGGATAATGTTAATTTCGGCCCCCGTATCCACCATGGCCGTGCACTTGGAGCCTTTCACCGCTAGGTCCACCACGCCACAAGCCACACACTTCCAATCCATTTTTGTCCCTGGCTCTGCCCATTCCATCTCCTTGGGCAGGATCACGCTGAGGTGAACATTTGGTACCAGTCGCCTTGACAGCCTACCCTTCAGCTCATTCCGGATCCTTGGCGCGGAAGCCAGGATCTCCTTGAGGGTCATTAAATCATTATGACCCTCAAGAAACCTGTCTATTACTCGCTCTACATCAAATCCTTCCTCTAGTCGGACCGTATACTTCTTCCTCTTTGGTGGTACGTCTCGCATAACCGGTTCGGCCTCTCCCCGGCTTTCTCTTTTCTTGGCTCGTTGTTCGGGCCTTTGATCTTCTACCTGACGTAACCAGTCATCTTCCCCTTCATCATTATCATCATCCTCTACCTCTACAGTTTCCTTCCTCTTTTCTGGTTCTGGTTCCTTCTGAGGAGGTTCTTGACTCGCACCTGTCTTGGCTTGACTTCGAGTACGGGCTGCCTGGGCCAGCCTAGCTTGCGGGGTAGGGGGCCTAGTCATTATCCCCGATCGCGGGCCCGTCCCCACTGTGGTCACTCCGGGCCGCCCTGACATGGATTCCGGACCAGAGTCATAAAGAAAGACCTTGGGGAGGTTAGCCCCTCCACTCCTTCACTCCCTCGCAGAGATCTACCAACTTCCGTTGGTATCTCCCTACCTTGTCCAATAAGTTCTCCCTCTTATTCAGCAGGACCACCGCTGGCTCTACCTCCTCATCGCCACCCTCATCGTCCGACTCGATGATTATGGGTTTCTCTCTTACATCCCCGGCCTGTAGCCTCTGGGTTACTTCCTCGTCACTTCCTACTTCCTCAACTCCAACTGGCAGTTCCTCCTCCTCCTGCCATAGCCTGAACGTGGCAGGGGGTGGTTGTCGTGCTGCCAACCTTCGTTGGGCCTCCACCCTAACTCCACCAGCCTTCCTATCAATAAAATCTCCAAATTGGTCGTAAATGTCCCCATCCATATTAGAATAAATTAGTCCATTTTTCTCGTCCTCTCTCCTTTGGTTGCCTTGGCCGCCTTGATTGCCTTGGCCACCTTGGTTGCCCCATTGGCCTCCTCGGCCACCGCCATTCCTGCCACGTCCTCGTCCACTGCCCCTTCCTCCATTCCCTTGGTTCCCTTGGCCTTGGTTACCACCACCCGTCACACTGCCTTGTGAACTTTGTGTGGGCGTCGGCGCAGGTGGTTCCGTTGGCTGAGTCTGGGCGGCAGGGTAACTTGGAGGTGGCATACTTGTTTGGGGCCCAGCGTAGGATATTACCTGTCCAGACGGCGCTGGGCCACCCCAGGGTACATAGGTATTAATCAGGGGCCACGGCCAGTGTCCAATTGTTGGCACTGGTGCTTGCGACGGGCCCGCACTACTTGACGGCCCCAACGAACTTGGAGATGTCACTACCACTACTTAAGGCGCCTGGCCCTTTCCTGACCCTTGCCCGCCTTGTGCTAAATTGCGCTGCTTACGCTGCGCCTTCGTAAGGTGAGGAGGTACCGGCTCCTCCTCTTCCTAACCTCCCTGGGTAGCCTCCTCTACCACGGCCCCCTTGCCCTTTTTTTGGACCGCCGTCGTCACCTTCCGCTGTATCACCGGGTCCAGCCCTGCTAATACGTCGGTGATAATCTTCTTTACTCCTGGCGTCCCAGCCGCATCCCTTTCACCTTTGCAGCCTCACCTAGTCCTGCTCAACCTGGTCGAGGTCGCCGACCTCCACTCCTCTGTCAATGGTGGCCCAAGTAAGTTTGGCATTTCCTCCCCCATGGCTTGTTAGTTCAACTGTCTCAGATGCGGTGAGCAGCCCCAGGAAGACGGCGCACTACGCCTCCTCTGATATCCCATGTACCTTTCTCGCCTTCTTTTTGAATTCTTGCAGGAATGCCCCAATGGTGGTGAAGTCGTCCCTATTCATTGCCTCTAGGTCCGCCATAGTAAGCAAGCCGTCCCCCAACCTATACTTCCGCTGCATCCCTTCCCTAAATTTAGCCCAATCGCCATTAGCGTCGTCGACCACCTTCTGCACTTCCGGATGGTGCTTATGGAGCACATACTGCAGGATGTGTTTGAATTTTGTCTCGTCTGGTACTCCCACTAAGGCTTGCTCCACTAGGTCCAGCCACTCAGAAGCTCGTTCCCCATTGAAGTGGAAGGTGTCGACTTTGGGGACACTTCTTGGTGTTCTCTCCCGCTTGTTCATTGCCTCGATGAGATCATCGAGGGTCAGGACCTTGCCTGAACCGTCGCCTATGCCGCCTGTCATTTTAGCAGTCTGTCCTTCACTGTAACTTCCCTGTAGTAAGACAAGGTACAAAGGCAACTTTATTCAGCACTCTCACTCCAGCATAAGCCTTCCGAGCTAACCTCTTAGCCCTTGGGCGTTTCAAACTTTAACTGACACCCACGTCCTTTTCGTTCCCAGACCTATATTCACAAGGTCTACCTAGGCTGTGAGTTTTCCCACATAGTTACTATGGTTAAGCAATCTCTCTTATAGCCCTACTTATAGACCCACTTCAAATCTCACACTCATGCCTGATTTCTTCCTTATCCTAATACTCGGATGTCGTTCCACCAGGGACAACGGCAGGCAACCGCCATCCCCGACAACGGCGCCACCTGTCGAGCGCATCGGTCCGGCACCACTCAGAGGTAGCGCGGGACCCTCTCAGCCGCGTCACGCAGGAGTTGGACCAACCTTGCTGCGAACACACAGATGGAGCTTCCTTAGGCCGCTCCGGCCAGAATGCGCAATTCATACCTCTCGCGAGCCCCTACGACAAGATAGGGCCTACGCGAGGCACAACTTACCTCCACCTTGCGGGAGCTGTCACCTCCCTTCGGTGGGCGTATCCCCGTCGAGCTACCAGTCTACAGTACGAAAGCTACTCGGTTGCAATCGCAGAGGTGGACCAGCCGAGGGCGTTTCTCGTACGTTGTAGCATAGGGGGGTACGCGCGGTAATACGCCTATCGGACCCGCACGCGAACCGACATCTTGGGGGGGCTGAAGTCCCAAGCGCGGCTCGACGCCGGTCGACTAGGACGCATCCCACACACCACGCGCACACTACTCTAACAGATGCAAATAACGACACACACACATACACACAAAATGACACAACGCGAACTACGCGACCACGCTCCTAGCCCCTTGGTAATCATCCCATAACTCTTCAATGCGGGAGTCAGGTAGGCGTCGCGCGCGAGACTTGATATAAAACCGCGCGGACGCAGGGCTACTCACATCGACTCGTAATGCAGCCGTACGCAAGCGGTCGTAACGATGGCGTACTATGTGGTACCCCTACTCACGTGGCCCTTGTTAATCCCGAGGGTCGCGTTCGACACTCAAGTGTCGGCTGACACACGCCTAGAGGGTTAATCTCTCGACGTCGGACAACCGCCATGTGCGGTTGGAGGCCACACCCTCTTCTGCACCCTGTGCAGAGGGGTTGAGTTGACAGCTTCAAGTTGTCGTGGCGGTCAAACATCAAGGGGTTTGACTTTGACGGCTGCCACGGACTATAACGTCCAACCATGAAAGCTCAAAGAAGGGAAACTCACTCCAACTCTCATTAGTTCAATGACCTCCTAGAATGGAAAGGGTAGGCAGGCCCAAACGACGTGCGCCCGGAGGAGGCCCGGTATCCTACCCATAGGCTACCGATGTCCGGGGTAGCGAGGCCCATACACGGACTCCCATCGGCCGACTGGGACTAATCCTTTGCCCACGTGCCGCTTCCCGATAGCAAAACCCCGAGTCTATTGACCGCATCGCGCTCGTAGCCTCGCCGCCTGGCCCATAACTTTTTAGTGTGAGAATCAGCGAGTGTTCCGCGTGCGGACTTAATATAAGATCGCGCGAACGCTGAGCCTACACATACCATCTCACTATGCATCTCTACATGAGTATCTGTGATGACGGCGCATTATGTGGTGCCTATACCCAAATGGCCTATTCTGAGCCGTGTGGTTGCTTCCGATGCTCAGGCGTGGATTGAAGTGCGGGCTAAAAGGGGGGGGTAACCCTTTAGCGGGCACAAAACCGGCCTGAGGGCCTTACCGCCTTCTGCACCCTGAGGTGTCCCAAAGGGTGCGGGGTAAGACGGCCCCTCGAGCAGGAAGGGGTTCGGAGCGGTGGTGAGTTGTCTAGCGCATCACCAGCGACACGCTGACCCTTCCAACCGGAACTTCATCGTTCCACCAAGGTAATTCCCAACAAGGAAGCATATATATATATAGAGGGGTCCTTCCCTCCCTTCTATTCATTCCAACCCTGGATTAGGTCCTTGGCACGCGGACCCTTCAGGCTACACAAGTACCCTACATAGGTACGCATACATACACATGTACACACATATATACACATATGGGAATAATTGTGTAACGATCGCATCTCACAATCATAGTGGGTCTCCTCATGCATATATATAAGATCGCAGGGCAGTCCAATCCTACAATCCAAGCCACACAACATACCTGCAATCATATCAAAGAATCAAGCAGAAGTCCATACACTACACGAAGTCAACTCCAACCAATCTCCATGTTTATACCCTTTGCCTCAGCCATGCAAGCCCCAACCTCCAGCCAACCAACCTTAAGTAAATACTCAGTACCTTTGTTAAATGGCCATTCAATAATAGTCTGGGTGAAACCTTAACAAAACAGAGAAAATCACCAGGGGTGAAGCCTTTTTAGGTTGAATAAGAAAAACGGGTTGAGGTTGAGTCATAAACCGACGAATCGGCAACCGACTTGTTATCTGTGATAACAGAAGGTGATCCCTGCTGGACCAAAGTTGAATCTAGCCCCAAGTCCTGAATCAATCGATCAAGGAGACCTGTAACACAAGACAGGTCAATCTCAAGCTAAGTCTATGAGCTCATGGAGGATAATTTTCATATCACGATCTTACCCAAGTCACCACACTTAACTAGGTCTAAGCTTTATCTCTGGCCAACGCCCGAGCAAAGGTAGCCTATGGCATAGCCTCTCCTACGTACGTCGCCACCTGCTGAAATACAAGCTAACTCCTCTAATTTAGGAAAATTTCGGCAACATTTCCCGTAGGAAAAGTGTCATTGCAGAAAATATACTAGTCCAATAAGTCAAACTTTGGTTCCCAGAAAGTCAAAATTTGTCGAAGTACCTGACCTAGCAAAAATATGGGTAGCATTTCCTGCAGAGAGGGAGCCCCCCTCCAGATCTATACTAAGTCAGATTTGAACTTAGACATATAGTCTAAGCCTTGTCACGACAAAACCTCAACCAACTTCTTAGCTTTGTAGAAATTTCGGCAGCGCTTCCCGTAAGGAAAGTGCTAGTTCAAGATTTGTACAAGGCCAAGTTTGGGACATGACAATGACTTTGACTCTTCAAGGCCCAATTTTGGTTAACTCCCTGACTTAGTAAAAATTTTGAGCAGCACCTCTTTTAGAAAAAGGAAGCTCCCCAGATTCTTACTAAGTCAAAGAAGTCATGAAAACCGGATCCTGAAAAAAGTCAGAGTTTTGGCTAACTCCTTGATCTTGTAGAAATTTCGGCAGCGCTTCCCATAGAGAAAATGGCTTACCAAGATTTATACAAGACCAAGTATGAATCAAAAGATCCTAGAAAATGCAGAAATTGATCTAAGTAAAAACACGAGTCTAGAAAATGCAGGAAATGACTCTAACTCGTATGGCTCTAGCACGTGGCGAGCAACTACCTATCAAATTCAAACTCAGACTAAGAAGTGGCATCACTCAGTCACATGCAGGCCAAACCACAAACATGCACTTTCTCACCATCCCCAAGTTACCTTAGCAAACAATAGTTCGTAGCCTTTCAATGATTTGTCCCTCATACCCAGCTTACATAGGGCATAAGGCTAGACCGCCCAAACTTATGGAACATGTCTAGCCCAGCCAAGGAATATATACAAACACAGGGCACAATAACTTTTCTCTTCTTTGGGCACATGACTAGGCCACCCTAGTCGCCCTGAACCGTTTGAGTATCCAAGGTTTATATACTTGTCTTTACTTAGTCTTTCGAGGTAGCATATAGCTGAGCCGATCATCTTCAGCTCAAGACTCAGCTTGCCCCTTCGTACCACAAGTTTATTCTTAGTTAAATACTCTCTTCAGTTGGTGATAAGCTATAGTCAGGCCATCCAAACTTATGGAACCCTGCCTGACTAGCCTGTTCATAGATAGTATAATAGTAAAGTATATCAAAGTTATAGCCTTCCAGTTCCAGCATGTGCGAGGCGTTGGACCAAGCCCGCCCAAACTTATGGAACATGTCTTGGTCCTCAGCCTGGTTTATTTCTCTTAGACCAAAGCAGGAAGAGGTAGAACCACCCAAACTTATGAGACATGCTCACCTCTTCATCCAGAAACCAAAGAAAGTGTCAAACCCCCCAAATAAACAAGGCCGCCAGACTACCCAAACTTATGGATTTGACTGGCGCCTGAAAAACAATCACATTAAGCCCTCACAAGTCAGAGCAACCAGACCACCCAAACTTATGGGACATGTCTGGTTCTCTAGGCAATACAAAATAAAACACAGCAATGAGCCTTCCCAAACTTATGGAACTGGCCCAGCCTTTGGTTGACCCTAGTCAAGCCTCATACAATACTGCCTTTCTCCCATCCTCCTCCCCCCAGATGCAATCCCACAATCTGCTTTCAGTCACGCATAGAAGTTGAAACTGACATTATACATGCCTTCCTTTACTTTGTCTGGTTAAGTCATGAATAGAAAGCAAGATTTATAGGGACAGGCAGGCATACATCAATCAACTACAGGAAGGATATGCAAACATAGGTGTAGAGGGAGTATACAGACAAAAAGAAGTTACCTGATGTTTCCCTGCTTCCAGAACCTCGCCTAGGTTCCGGCAGAGCTCCCGCAATCGGTGGGAGGACTCCCCACAGAGTCTTGGAGTGGACTTGCGGGTTGCAATCCCGCCTGCCGCCTTCCCCTCGTAACCTGTTGACTAGACTTAGAGTAAGGAAGGTAGATAGAGGAAGTATAGAGACTCTCAAAGGGGTGCACTCAGACTCGCATGAGGGGGCCTTGTCATCTTGGTTCGCCTGAGGGCCCCGCAATGATGGTCGGGAACAAAGCTAGGACGCTCCGATCACGACCAAACTCAAAGTAACATCCCTCAGGCGGCCTTTAATACCTCGGCAACGAACCTCTCTTGCAAAGCCTAGGCTCACCCCCAACGCCGCCACACTCCTCTTTCTCACTGCACCCCTTCCTTGAGCCTATGTCGCTACTGTCCTCGGTGAGGAATCGCGTCCTGCTCAGCAGCAGCGCGCACCGAAACCCTGC